CAGTTTCTGAGAGCGAGCAGCTCAGGGGCCACAGTTACTGAGAGCCATCAGCTCAGGGGCCCGACATCCAGCAGTTAAAGTCATTCTGTAAATAAAACAAGTTTTACAATGATCATTTTAAATTTGTTTATTTTGTTGCATCGAATCATAAATGCAATAAACAGAACCCAGTTATGTAACTGGAACAAATTTATTTTTTATGAACTCACTGGTGGGCCGGACTCAAGTCACCCATGGGCCGGACGTGGCCCGTGGGCCGCCAGTTGAATAGCCCTGAACTACACCTGAGTACGTCTGCCTTCAACAGGCGTATAAAATACATGGAGCTGTTTTAAACCACGAGCACTACCCCAGTCGACAGTTAGATGATAAGACAACATCCAGATGTTCCACACAGCTGTAACCAACCTGCCAAGAGCTCAGACGTCTCAACTGTTCAGAGACGAGTCGTGTTTGTGAAGCCTTTAAAAGTTTTCTGGACCCAGACACAGAAGCTGAATCAGTCAATTCACCGCCTGTAGCTCTTGGCAAGTTGTCACTTTAATCCCACACATGACGATTAGCAGAAAAACACAGAAGACGGAGGTGAAGACGAGTGATGAAGGCAGGGCTGACGGGACGTGTTGAAGCTCCTCTCTCTTCCACTGCAGGAAATAAACATCTTCATGTTCACTGACTCGTTTGAAACTCAACTGGACCCTGGATGTTTTTAAAACCTCTGAGTTTCTGCTGCATTTTCATCACACGTCTACAAAATGTATCCACCACGACTTTGGTCACCATAAATTAATCCTTGACCACCTCAAACATTTGAGGAGGCTATAGCTTTAAGAAATATGAAAAACAATAGTTTTCACAAATGATAAAAGTTTATATAAATATATGATGGTGGCCATCTTGGATTCTGACGTGCACCCAGTTTTTCTAGATGTTCCGTCTAAATGCAGCCACTCACCAAAAAGGAAGTCGGTGCTTTCATTAATCCAGCACACAAGCCAAATGGATGGAGCGTACTTCCAGTACTTCCAGTACTTCCAGTTCCTCTCTTTGCTCCGTGACAATCACAGAAACTCACTCTTGGATGCACAAGTTGTTGTTTTGTCAGGAGGTGGGGGGGACGGTTGGTGCCGTGTCCACAAAATGAATCAACTTGAGTGTTCTTCAGGATGAGAGAGCCGACTGATCAGCTGTTAACAATGTATTCAACATCTGGTTCCTGTTTTAGTCCACAGCGTCTGCCCCATGATGCTTCGGATCAAAACATGTTAAACCTTTTTATTTAGTGCTCTAACGTTGGTGCTGGAGCCCCAAGGAGGAAAAAGTAATAAATAAAAATCCATAATCTTCTGTGGAAGTTAGTCTGCATAAGAAAGGCTCAACACGTCTTCATTAGGATGAACACTAACTGTAAGTTTGACTTGATGTCTCATCACTTGCATGCATCAACAGTCAGAGCCAAACAAGGAAGGTGAAGCAGAAGGACTGGGACAAAGGAAAGACAACATGGAGACTGCATGCAATGATGGCGGCAGCGTGGCGATGAAGACTCAGAGACAGGAAGTGATAACGGAGACGGAGCGTCAGATGATGAGTGGAAGACGGCGGAGGCGGTGAGATGCGTGGCTTTTCATCACCACAACCTACCTGGCACTTGCAATTGTCCCTCCGCTGCCCCTGGTTACTCAGACTAATAAGACTGCCAGAACGTACCATAGGGGTGCGGTGTCGGACCTTGGTCTGGACACAGCCATCTTTCTCAAACTGGATCAGGTCGTTGAGCGGATCCCAAGGCCTGGTGCTGAGGAGAGACAGAGGAGGACACAAGTCATGACCATAACCGTCTTCACTGTCACCTCAAGCCTGAAACAAGTTTCATTCAAATCTCATTTTTTCTGTAATATTGTTAAAATCTCAAAAACTAAACTGTTGTAGGACCTCTGCAGTTGCCAGGAAAAACCAGTAGTTGGCGCCCAGTCCATCAATCCATCCATCCATTATCTTTACCCGTTTATTCCATTTTGGGTCACGGGGGTCGCTGGTGCCCATGTCCAGCAATCACTGTGGGAGGGGCGGGGTACACCCTGGACGGGTCGCAAGTCCATCACAGGGACACATAGAGACAAACAACCATTCACTCTCTCACTCACACCTAGGGACAATTTAGAGTTACCAATCAGCCTAACATGCATGTTTTTGGTCTGTGGGAGGAAACTGGAGTACCCGGAGAAAACCCACGCATGCACGGAGAGAACATGCAAACTCCACCCAGAAAGGCCCCTGGACCGGGGTTTGAACCAAGGACCTGCTCGCTGAGAGGCAGCAGCTCTAACAGTTGCGCCACCGTGCTGCCTCGCACCCAGTCCAATATGGAAGAAAGCAAATTATTGTTTTAAACCAGGGGTGTCAATCTCAGAAACAAATGGGGCCAAATTAAAAACTTGGTCCTTTTTTCTGGCTTCAAACCAGCCAGCTGTCACAAGAAGTCTGCACTAAATGAAATATGCTCAGTTTTTACAGCAAAATGAGAAGCAATGAAAACGTTTTACATTTAAAATATAATGGAGGGCCAGATTTGGTTCACAGGCCTCCAGTTTGACACGTGTTTTGAAACATCAGGAAGATTTAAATACAGGAACAAAAGACTTAAGATAATTAGGGTTTCCAAAAAAGTTCAATCTGGTCCTCTGGACATTCAAAAAAACAAAAAAAAGCAAAAAAACATAGAAACGTTTCGTCTCTCATCCAAGAGACTTCCTCAGTCTGAGGTGCTGTTTTCAGCTCAGTCTCTTAAATAGCACCTTCTCAGAGTGGATCAACCAGTTTGCTGCTGACAACCAAAACCAGCTGATCACATGCTCAAGAAGGACCATCAGCCTAACAAAGGATCATTAGCACACTGATGGCTGTTTACTGTTCACAGAGGGCTGAGTGATACTAGCAATAACAGCATTGTAAGAGGGGGACAGTTGAACCCGGAGGCCTCCACCCCTGTTTAACGATGGACGATTTCTTTTCACAAAGATGGCCTCCTTTACTCCTCTCTCAAACCATTGTTCCTCTCTGTCCAGGATGTGAACATCTTCATCCCTGAAAGAGTGACCGCTGGCCTGGAGATGAGTGTAGACCGCAGAGTCCTGGCCTGATGATGTTGATCTTCTGTGCTGGGCCATCCTTTTGGCCAGTGGCTGTTTAGTTTCCCTGATGTAAGACTGATCACCCTCCTGACACTGAACAACATACACAATATTACTCTGTTTGTGCCGGGGGACTGGATCTTTGGGATGAACCAGTCTTTGCCGTAATGTATTTTGGGGTTAAAAGCCACTGGGACGTTGTGTTTAGAAAATAAACGTCTCAGTTTCTCTGATACTCCCTCAACATACGGAATGACCACTGGTCTGGGTCTGGGTTCCTCCTTTTCACCTGTTGGCTGACTGGAGTCCTGTTTGGGTTTCTTCTCTGCTTTCAGGAAGGCCCAGTTAAGATATCCACATTGCTCTAGAGCCTGTCTTGTGTGGGATTTCTCCTTCTGCCTGGCTCCTGAGTTAGTGGGGACGCTGTCTGCTCTGTGATACAGAGTCCTGATGACTCCTAACTTGTGCTCCAAAGGGTGATGGGAGTCAAACTGCAAATACTGGTCTGTGTGGGTGGGTTTGCGGTACACCTCAGTTTGCAAATGTCCTCTATCTGAGACTGAGACCTCACAGTCCAAGAAAGCCAACCTGCCATTTTTTACATCTTCTCGTGTGAACTTGATGTATTTATCCACAGAGTTGATGTGGTCAGTAAAATGTTGGACTTCCTGAGATTTAATTTTAACCCAGGTGTCGTCAACATACCTGAACCAATGACTTGGTGGTGTCCCTGAAAAGGACGTCAAGGCTCTCTTTTCTACCTCCTCCATGTACAGGTTGGCAACAATAGGAGAAACTGGAGACCCCATAGCACACCCATGTTTCTGCCTATAATATTGCTCCCCATATGTGAAGTAGGTTGACTGCAGGCACAGTTTCAAGAGTTGACACAGTTGTTCTGTAGAAAGTGTGGTCCTGCTGCTCAGATTGGTGTCTGATTTTAATCTTAAACTGACCACCTCTACTGCATCATCAACAGGAATGCACGTAAAGAGTGATGTGACATCAAAAGAGACCATTGTTTCATCAGTCTCCATGATGACATCCCTCACCTTGTCCACAAAGTCCATGGTGTTCTGTATGTGGTGTTCTGAGCTGCCAACTAAAGGGATGAGTACAGACGCCAGATATTTGGAAACATTGTAAGTGACAGAGTTAATCATGCTAACAATAGGTCTTAAAGGTACTCCTTGTTTGTGGATTTTAGGTAAACCATACAGACTAGGTGTGGCCTCCCCTGGGTACAGTCTGTGGTACAGAAAACGGTCAATAGCCTTGTCCTGCTCCAAAATTTCAGGCAATCTATCAATTTCTTCTTGTAACCACTTCCTGGATCGCTTTTCAGAGGTTCATAAGTGGTTAAGTCACTAAGGAGTGTCATAACTTTCTCATGATAGTCTTTCTGGTTCAAAATCATTGTGCACCTTCCTTTGTCTGCTGGGAGAATGATGATGTTTTTGTCCTTGCTAAGAGTGGTGAGTGCATCCCTCTCCTCTCTACTGATGTTGGAAGGTGGTGGTTTGGCATTGCTGAGGCAGGCTGAAACTTTGATTCTGAGCTGTTCTGCTTCAGCCTCTTTAATTTTGTTGTTGCGGATGGCTGACTCAGTAGCTGTGATCATCTCCACCAGAGGAATTCTACTTGGTGCAACCGCAAAGTTCAGTCTCCTGGCAAGAATCTCTGTCTCTGGCTGGGTGAGCTGTCTGTCAGATAAATTCTTCACCCACTTTTCTGTCTCCCTGACATGTAATTGACTACTGGAGTGTTGTCCTACACTGAATGTGTTGTTATTGGAATAGTGATGTTGTTGATGAGTTATTAGTAAGTAAAACTTGTTTTGTTGTGGAGTCTTGGACTTGACATGCTGTGCTAAGCGTGCCTGATCTGTACAGTCCAACACTTGCTGAAGTGTGGTCTGATCTAGACACATAGTTAGTTTGTGTTTAATGTGCTCTTTTTGTATTTGTGTATGTTACGGTACGTCTTTAAGTAAAAGTTTAGAAAATCTTTCTGTGTAAATATCTCACATTACAACGTGGACAGCCGCAGCTTCTAGACAAGCACAGCCTATATATGTACAAACTTTTATTTATTTATTTAGTGGGCGTGGCTTATATTCAGGTGCACTCAATAGTCTGGAAATTATGGTAGTCCCCACGCCCTCATGCAGTTTGCTTACATCGCTCACACTTTTGAGAGATAAACTATTTCAAATAGTAAATGGACTGTACTTGTAGAACTCCTTTCTATTTGATCAAGATACTTAAAGTTCTTTACAACAATCTGTGCCTCATTTACCCATTCATACAGCACTCTACTAGATCTATACAAAGAATAATCAGTGATTTATCACATTCATACACTGATGGGACACACATCGAAGGCAATGAGGGGTTCAGTGTCTTGCCCAGCAACACTTCAACATGTGACTGCTGGTGGAATCAAACCTCCAACTCTTGCATTGGAGGACAACTGCTCTAACCACTCAGCCACAGCCGCCCCAGCAGTTTAAGACAGCCGTTGTTTTGCAGTTTATTTTTAATCCATGCAGCCCAGATGTGCAGCCTTCTGACTGGAAATGGAGACTGAGAATCTCAGACTCGTTGAAAACTCTCTTGTGAATGTCGTCGCCTATTTGACTTGGCGTGTTGAAATACCGCTAAACTGCTTTTCTTTACCAAAATCAGTACATGTGAAGCTTCCTTAAGTTTACTGTACCGTCTAGATTTCAGACGTCACAAGCTTGGAGGCAACAGAGGAGCCACTTACTCAGCGTATTTGTAATGCCACTCTCCAGTGATGGGGTCCTGCTCGAACAAGGCGGGGACCCACTCCTCACATTTAGCTTTGCGCTCGCGGGCCGCCTTCCTCTGAGCCTCCTCCAGGATGAACTTCTCGTTGGTGGCCTCAGTCTGGTCCTTGTTGTTGATGGCTCGGGTCACGTGCTGCCACAGTCTGGTTAAGGGATACAAGTTTTAGAAAGATTAGATTAAAGGTTTACCTCCAAAACAGACAGGGCAAAAATATTTAGTCTGATGTAGAAATTCCTGCACGAGGACACCCACTGAACTACAGTGAACCCTGCTGAACTGATAAGGGTATAAAAGTGAGTGGAGAGCACAACTTGTGACAGGTCTTCATGTGTGTACATTTTATGTATATTTATGTAACCTGTCCTGAAAATCTGACCTTGCAAGTAAAAGTGCCGGAGATAAATCGTCACCTGCCGTGTGTGTATGTGGTTCTTTTGGGTAATCAGCGTTTATGAGAGAGATTTTCTCCAACACAATGCAATTGTTTTATTGCTACATTTAGCTACCATTTGTTGCCTTTCAGTCTTTAGCCATCATCTTGCTATATTTAGTTTTTAGCTACTTGTTCTTTTTTTTTTTTTTGGCTTTAGCTAGTTTTGCTAGTTTTTGCTATAATTTAGCAAATTTTAGCTACAGTTAATTTTAGCTTCAACAGCTATCTTTTTTCAACTTTTAGCTACTGTTCTGCTAATTTTACAGTTTAACTTTAGCTAGTTTTAGTATTAGCAAAGCAGATGCTATATTTAACTCAAGTTTTATAATTCTTTACTCTTCCTGCTTGCTCACAACGAAGAAAGACGCATCTCCTCCCACTCCTGCCTCCCTCCTGCTTCTGCTCTTGTCCTGTGAATCTTTTCCAGAGCCTCTCTTTACATATCTTCTGAACTGTAAATTATGGATCTGGTCAGCTGGTCTCTCAACGCAATTGATAAAAAAATTTTGGGCAAAAATTCAAGGCGAGGGAGAGCCCTCATGCCCTGAAGGGACACCTACAACTGGATACACTATGGATTCCTGGGGACAGAGGAAGATGGTGTCTGTCCGTATTGTCCATTGAGGATGTACAAGACACGTACATAATTAGATTTATGACAACAGGAGTTCTGTTTTTTGGAGTTGGCGGGTATCTGGCACATCGACAAATTTGGAAGACATCGATAGCTGTTCTGGCAATTGTGAGGCTTCCTGCCTTGTGCGATGGAATGTGCCGTGCTTCGAGTGCTCAGACTCAGATTCTTTGTAAGCTGAGCCGTAAGCTGGACGCGATTTCTGAGAATCGCAGGCCACTTGCGGTTCCTGGAACCCGCTGGTGTGAAGGAATTGACCTTGGAGAAGCTACAAGCACAGCCCGGTGGACTGACCACAGAATTTGGCTGTTTGGAGTCGCCATTTGAGATGTACCAGCAGAACTATGAAAACAGATAAAAAATCAGAAAGAGTTGGCCTGTTCCCAAGCAAATGTTATCTGAATCTGTCTTCCCTGCTTGGCCTTGAATTGAGCAACTATCTCAAACTCTCCTGGAGGTTATGTGAACAAGAAGCTCTGCTCCTCCCCTACCTGCTCCCTTCCCAAGGACATCTGTGGACCTGTGTCATAGCTGAGCCAGCTGATAGACACTGCACTATCTCTTATCAGGACTATGGAACTTCTGGCAGTGTCCACGGACAACTCACCACCTTTGTCGGCCTCTTCATGCATAAATGTATTATTTTTTTAATTAAGCCTTTATTTATACAGGTAGTGTCAATGAGTCACAAGAACTCATTTTCAAGAGAGATCTGTTTAGGGAGCAGATGGTGGGGGTTGACGGCCTTGCTCAGGGGCCCAGAGTGGGGCAAATGAGGGTGGAAGCAGGTGTGGGTGTTCAACATGAATATAAAAAATATTGAGGAAAGACTGAAGGGGACAATAGGGATAAACACAGGACAAATTCATCTTCTGGCTGCCGCTGTATGAACTCGTATGCAGAAATGAGGAGTGCATCTGGTGAAACTTTATTTTAAATCCAACAGGATTAAGTCAGGTCCTCTGGACAGATTCTTCTTTGTTGAAACATTTTGTCTTTTCGGTGTTTAACTGTCCCTTCTTACAATGCTGTTATTGCTAGTATCACTCAGCCCTCTGTGAATAGCAAGCGGCCATCAGGGCATTAAAAATCAACTGTTAGGTTGATGGTCCTCCTTTTACATGTGAACAGATAGTTCTGGATGTCATCATCAAACTGGTTGATCCACTATGAGAAGGGGCTATTTATAAGACTGAGTTTGTTGCAGCTCCTCAGACTGAAGAAGTCTTTTAGATAAAAGACTAAACATTTCAACAAGAAGAACCCGTTCAGAGGACCTGACTCAACCTTGTTAGATTTATCTTCCTGGATTATTGAGCAGCATCAGGACATTTATTTAAAGAATCTAAAAAAGACAAGGAGAACATCGTCTCTGAGTTTATCAGAATGAATAAGGATTGGCTGCCAACATCTGGAGTACCTTTCTGACTCAAACTCCCCCTGCTCCTCTGGTGGGACAGTGAAGCGGATCAGCCTGTTCTGTCTCAGCTCAGGTGTTGGGTTCCAGAAAGTATCCACCGTCTCAGTCTTCTTATCGTTGATGAAGATCTCACTATCCTGTTAGAGAGGGGGGTTAAAATGTCCAAATGTAAACGAGAGTCACACTGAGAGCTCATGTTCCTGAACATTTGGTTTGAAAACTCCATCCTTTTTGCAGACTCAAATTTTCAGGATTTAAGGAGAACGGTTGTACCCAGTGTCCCTCCAGCGTTGCCAGCACCTCTTTTCCCAGCTTGATCTTCCCAGAGATCTGATTGACGCAGTCGCTGCTGCCCAGGAATGGCTGAGGGGCAGAAGGAAGCAGGAAGAGGGAGAACGGGAGAAACAGAATGGAGGGTATCCAGAGGAGCCGCGTACGCGACAAGACAGGGCAATAAAAGGGAGAGCAAAGTAAAGACAAGGGAAAGTAAGGAAGAGGTTATAGTTTACCCACTGTTGCAATACTTATTTATGTGCATTTTAAGTTAAAATACATATTTACTGAATTTGACTGAGCATTCTGCGCTCAATAGATGTACATCAGCAACACAAAGCAATGAATGTGTTTTGTTTTTGGACTTATTTGAGGCTGTTTCAGAATCTGGATTATTGGCTTAAGTGTTTTACACTTCCTGTTGGTTTTATGCTAAACATACCTGGCGCTGGGTAGTGATGTGATAATGAAGTGGATAATCGGGTGGGTCAGAGAGGGAGGTGGGATATTTGTCGGGGAGGGTAAAGCAAAAGAATGGGGGTGGTGATGACGGAGGAGTGAGACATTCAGAAAAGTCATGAGAGAATAACACTACCACACACTACCCTCTACTCCTGACCAGCATGAACCTACAGTGAAAAACATGGCTGTACCTTTAGTTTGAACTCCAGCTGGGCGCTGTAGCCCGTTTTCTCACACGCAACAGTGATCTGACCACCGAGCTCCAGCGTCATGGTCCCATAAAGTATGCCTTCCAAAAAAGAAAGATAAAATGATCTGGGTCAGAACTGACCGTTTGGATAAGTTTACAAACAGGACACTATCATCTACCGTATTTTTCTGCCTATAAGTCGCACTTTTTGCATAATTTACATGCCCTATGACTTATACGCCAAAGCAACGTATTAATGTTTTTTTTCACTTTATTAGACATATTTGGACTGATGTGACTTATAGGGCGGTGCAACGTTTATGGCAGAAAATACAGTAAATGCCTCTAACACCTTTCTGCTCATGTACAAAAACAACAACACAAAAACTAATTTTAAAAGTCTGGGCACACATTTACCTACATCAGACCTTCTTTTCACCCTTAGAGTTTTTGAACTTAACACTTTTGGGACTGTTTCTTTCTTCGCACTTAGACTTGATTTGATTTATTACATCTTTTTGTTTAAGGGCTCTATAATTTACTGTGAACAGCATATGTGATTTCGATGCGTATGAAACTTCTGTGAAGCTCAAACTAATCTTTCAGCATCTTACTGTAACAGAACGTGAACAATATGAAGTTGATGAATAAAGGACGCTCTCTGACCTTTGCAGTGAGCGTAGGGCATGTTCATCACGTAGTCCTCCCCTCGATTGAGAAAAGTCAGGCGGGCCTCTCCATCTAATATGGCTGACAGGGAGTTTCCTAAAACGGGCAGATGGGGACAGCCATCAGTTATCAGTGGTTATAAACTTCCAGCTGAATGAACTTTGTGTTCGTACCGTAGAACTTGGACTTGGCGAGGATGCTGCCACTGAGGCAGAACCCGTCCTTCCTGTTGCTGACGTAAAAGGCTGACACGGGTGGATGGTGGGACACCTGAAGACAGAAGAGTTTAAATTTAGATTCACACTAACAGTTTTATTGTTCTAATCAAAAGGTGACATGCTTTATGTGAGGCAGAGGGTGACATTTTTTCGGGATTCCCACGGGATGGGAGTCAACTTTAATATTACTCACGTGATTGGGATGGGACAAGACTTTTTTTTCTGTGGGAGTGAAAATACACTCCCGTGTCACCCTCTGATATATGAGCAAAGTCAAGCTGACCTGTTCTGCGATGTAAAAGGTTTTGCTGTTGGTCTTCTGATGGAGCCACATGCAGCGGTACGTCTCTCCAATGATGGGGTTGTAAGGCTTCTTCAGACCCTGAGGATCATCCATGATTTTGTAGAACTTCATGTACATTACAGAGGAAAAATAATCCCAAATGAACACAGAGGGAGCTGAACTGACCTTAGGCTTTTTGTAAAATCCAGAAATGTACCATTTCACCACCTTCTTCATCCGGTTGTAGGCATTCTCCTCAACTGCAGCTCTGAAAGAGAAGCCCAACTTAGACTGAGGGTTTTCTTCACACTTTCACTTGTGAATAAACAAAAAGCTTGTTCATTTGGAGAGAATATGCTGCGAACTGCTCCAGTGGGAGCTGAAGAGCATTGCAAGATGACACCAGCAGGACCACATCATATGCAAAGAGCAGAGACGGAATCCTGAGGCCACTGATCCAGACTCCCTTCTACCCCCGGCTGCACCGAGAAATTCTGTCCATAAAAGTTGTGAACAGAATCGGTGACAACAAGCAGCCCTGACCGAGTCCAACTCCCACCCTGAAGGGGTCCAACTTACTACCGGCAATGCAAACCAAACTCTTGCATTGATTGTATAGGGACCGAACAGCCGTAGCAACGGGGCCCCCAATCTCATACTCACGGAGCACCCCCCCACAGTTTACCTGTGGCTGGGGCAGCTGTGGATGAGCGGTTAGAGCAGTCATCCTCCATTGGGAGAGTTGGAGGTTTGATTCCACCAGCAGTTACATGCCAAAGTGTCCCAGGGCAAGACATTGAACCCTTCATTGCCTCCGATGTGTGTCCCATCATTGTATGAATGCAATCTAAAGTTCTGATTAGTCTTTGTATAGATCTAGTAGTAGAGTGCTGTATGAATGGGTAAATGAGGCACAGATCATTGTAAAGAGCTTTGAGTATCTTGATAAGATAGAAAGGCGCTACATAAGTACAGTCCATTTACCATTTACCTCGAGGAACACGGTCAAATGCTTTCTCCAAGTCCACAAAACACATGTAGACTAGATGGGCAAACTCCCATGACCCCTTGAGGACCCTAGTGAGGGTAAAGAGCTGGTCCAGTGTTCCATGGCCAGGATGGAAACCATATTGTTCCTCCTGGATCTGAGGTTTGACCAACGATCGGACTCACTTCTCCAGTACCCCTGAATAGACCTTACCAGGGAAGCTAAGGAGAATGATGTGAATGCGCGGAGGGAATATTCAGTGCTTTCAGCACCGCCCTCTGGCGGTCATCCGGGATTCATAGAACCATACATACATAACCCTCGATCTTGTCCACTCCCGCCCTGTCACCGTGTAACTTTTTAACTACCTCAGCGACCTCTGCCACGGTTATGGACAGACCAACTCCGAATTCCCCAGACTCCACTTCCTCCAAGGAAAATGTGCCAATGGGATTTAGAAGGTCCAAAGTATTCATTTCATCTCCCAACATTGTCACTGGTTGAGGTCAACAGCACCCCCACCCTCACTAAACACGGTGTAAGTAAAATGCTGCTTTCCCCGTCTCATCCGCCTGACGGTTTGACAGAATTTCCTCTGAGCCAATTGAGAGTCTCTATCCAAGGCCTCACCACTCACCGAACTCCTCCCACATCCAAACTTTTGCCTCAGCAACAGCCAAGGCTGTGACTCCCATGGCTGATACTCCTCAGCTGTCTTTGGAGTCTTACCAGCCCACCTGGCCCAATCGGACGACTCCTTCAGCGTGATGGCCTCCCAAACCTAGGGTATCCACCACAAAGTTTGAGGATGGCACATTAATATATATATTTTTAATTTAATTTAATAATTTAATTAAAATAAAAAAGAAAATTAATCAGTTCATGTTTAAGGTTTAAGGTGACTTTATTGTTATTCGCATCAAATGTGGTGTTGCCACGAGCCGCGTTTCCCGCTACCTCCAAGATCTCAGCGGTCAGGCACTCGAACACAGCCTCCAGGTAGACAGTAATGCATCCACGGCACCTCCTTTTCAATTCATTTGGGATTTGGGGCTGTAGTTGAGATATCTGAGCTTTTGAGATGTTAATCAGCAGCTCCCAGTTGTAGAAAACCACCTTGTTGTTATGGTTACGTATCATAACAAATGTCCACAAGTAAAAAAGGTTTAATTACAAACCCTTCCAGTGGCACAGTAGCTGATACCAGAGGAAGTAGTCATCCAAAAAAAGTGATTTACATCCAGAAAAATTAGTACTTAAAGTTTTCAAAAGCAAAATCTTAGAATGAATGTAAGAGAGTTACTCCAACATGCAGCCACCTTGAGTGGTACAATTCTGATGTCTTGTTAAATTATTGTCAGGGCCACCAACAGAAGTCAGTGTTGTCAAACTACTGGTATTCCTTTTATTCAAGGGTTCCCAATTTTTATTTTTACTTCGGATCCCCAAAGTAAGACCGTTAAAGGCCAGCAATCCTAAATATTGTTGAACTACACAAACTCTTAAAAATTTGAAGATAAACAGGCATAATGATAATACAAATGGAATAAACTCATATTAAACTACTTGTTTCCACATTTACCACTACTGTTGCCATTTTTGGTAACAATAATAGTGAAAATAGTCTTTTAGAAATTTCCTGATGCATGCCCAATAATCCAGGTAGAAAAAAAATCTAAAGAAAAAAAAAAGAGGACCAGACTTAACTTTTTTAGATCTTTTAGAAATTTTATTTTATTTTATTTCTGGATATCATCTAAAACCCTATCTCCTGGTATTTTGTGACCCACAGTGGAGTCCTTACACCAAATTTGGGAACCACTGCTTTAATTAATATAAAACCTTTAGGACAAGGAGGGTCGAAGAAGGTCTTACTCTGACAGGAAGTCTGCGTGATAGTAGTAGTCAGACAACTTGTCCAGGAAGGATCTTGGCTCCAGGATGAATGTGGGCAGTACAACCTTGGACAGATCCATGCCCGGTCGAACTTGCTTCAGGAGCGTCCAGATGAGAGATTTATTCTCCTCCGATACGGTTTCTGTCTGAGCTGCCTCACCGGCCTGAAAACGCACACACGAAACAGCAGAGATGCACTTCAGTGCAGAAACCTTTAAGAAAATCTGGCTGCTGCTATGTGCTTTTGGACTGTGAATCTTGCTCCTGGGTTTTAGAAGTGCTCAGTTAGTGAACTGATAAACTCCATCAGTATGGAGATGGGTGTAAGCTGTTTCACATCGCCTTGTTATCACACTCTCTTGGAAACAACCACAGACCAAACTGCACAAACAGTTATCAAAGACCTTCGTGTTATGACATGAAGAGCCCGAGCAGAAAAAAATGTATTGTTATTCTCATAATGCAAAAAACTTTATTAAAGCTGTGTTGTTATTATAAAATCTGAGGAAGCTGTTGAAGTCGTAGAAGAGTCCTAATGATGTAATTTTATCTTTTATTGTTAGTTGTCTCATAGATAAGATGACTCAAATGTGAATCTAAGTAGTATCAGATTAAACTTTGTCTGAACACTGTTGCATACCTCTCCTAACTCTTCGTGGGACTGCTCCATGTACGGAGTCTCACACAGATGTTCAATATTATCCAGATCAATGTAGGAGTCATCTTGGCGCTCTGACGTGTCACTGTCGCTCTCTTCCAGGTTCTCAGGGTCCGACTCTTCGTGGTCCTGTTCTCCTTCTCTGTCTGATTTATCCGAGTATAGGTCCACATCTTTCAAATGGTCACTGTCATTAAACCTGTAGGAGAAAATCATCAGTCTTTCTGTTTAAAAATGAAAAAAAATATATATATAAGGAATACAAACTGCTATCATGGTTTACACTATATCATTTCATCTGATGTTATAGATCTAGAATTTCTTTAAGGAATGCATTATGTTTTAATTATTAGTCATGGTCATTTTGGTCAAACCTGAAAGTCCAACACAATTTTTCATATTACATATCCAGTGAAACATGATAAAGACATAACAAATAAATATCTTCTGTGGCAAAATTTACCGGTAATACAAATTGGTTTAAAAAACATAGTTTTAGTAATAAATTTAAGCTGTTTTAGTTGCGTCTTTGGAAACAGCCCCACTTTTTCCTTATATGAGGGTGTGACATCACACCAGGGATCCGATTGCACAAGATGGGAGGCAGCTGCAAAAATGGGCCGCTTCTTTGAGAAAACACCCCCGCCACACGATAAACAAGCCCCCACCGGACTTTATGACTGAGGCCTGAAGTTATTTATCAAGCTCCAAACAATCTGCATGAAGAAGAAGAAAAAGATGTGGAAGTTGAAGGAAGTTCGGCGGCGATAGAGACACAGTGTGAGTGAGTCATGAGATTTGAGAGATTTGTGACATCTAGTGTGTTTGGATTTTATATTTAGGGTGCAGTGTAGTGTGTTTAGTCAGTTTTAGAGTTTGAGTCAAAACAACGAGGTGATTTTTGAACGTGAAGCTGCAGCTTCTGTTTGAGGTGGAGGATGGAGCCGCAGACCCAGAAATGAATGGTGAGGAGTCGAAACCTTTCAGACAGAAGGAGGCTCAACGGCAGAAAGATGGAGAAAATCAGAGTCTGAGTCAGAGTGAAGACTTTGATGAGGAAAGAGAGGAAGTGTGCACTGAGCGCCACACTCATGGCTGTGCCCGATCCCTGGCGTGACGTCGTCAGACTTCGGTAATTATCGGTCATGTGCTCAGGTGTTTCCTTTAGTTTACAGATCTGTTTGTTTAATATATTTTTAACACTTTGGTGGCTCGAATGTGAAAAACATATAACCATTTAGGAAAGCATGATATATGTGGTACACATCAGTAAAAGAACGCTGTGTTGTGTGATTTTACTGCGAGACCCTCTGGTCAAAGTCACAGAGGAAACTGGTCGCCATTTTGTGTCAGCTCTCCTTAAAGCGGAAGGAGTCGCCCACTAGAGGGTTGGAGGGTGAAGTGTTTTCAATTCTGCTCTGTTGCTGTTCATTTCTTAAGTGAGAAGACTGGAAACTGTTGAGTTAACAACATATTCTTTTGTTTAAAACATATGGCTAAAACTACATTTTGATATATTTTGCACTGCTTTGCACTACAAGAAAGAAGCCTAATACTTGATTTGATAATTATTTAAAATCTCTCTGGACCTAGTAGTGGAATTTTCTTGACTTGTGATTATTTTGTGGTATAGCAGTTTTCAAAATAAATGCGGCGAAATGACACCCTATGCTTTTTTTTCATTCCTATTGAAAGTTTTATACCAAAAATATATCATGATGTATATCCAACATTTTTCAGTCAGGTCATCTGGACAATGTTGGATTGTATACCTGGATTATTGAGCATGGACTTTGATGTATATCGTTACCGCCACCCATCACCAAAGATGTCGGGATATGAATTTTATGCCACATCGCACATCACTAAAACCATTGTATTTTATGAGTGATTACACCTTAAGAGCAATTGGGACTAACGTTATTTGAAGACTCATAAAATTGTGAGATGTCACACTCAGACTACGTGTTGTTTATGACTCTCAGCTAATACCACAACAAATCTTTGCTCAATGTTTCTCAAACTAAGTTATAGCCATTTTTTGTGTGTTTTTTAGGGTCTGTGGAAGGAGCAGCCGGCTCATATCTTGTTTACTTCAAACGTTACGTTTTTACACGTACAACCAATGTTTACTTTCTGCACATTTCATCAAAGTTAGTCTCACTGGTTCATGGCATATTTGGTAATAGGCACAAACACGCACAGATGTGGGTAAAAACAAGATCGTCTGAAAGTAGTGCTTGTTTAATTTCGCCACTCACTGAAAGCCGTGAATGTTGTGGGCTCTGAGGAGGCTGTAGAAATTAATGGAGTGTTCTCCACTAGTGGACACGGTGCTCATGTCCTCCTTCCCCTCGCGGATCATGGTCCTCTTCAGCAGGCTGGAGCACTTCAGGGCCAGCTCTAAGGCGTCCATCCAGCATCGACCTGCAACACAAGTTTCAGATGATGAAAAATACTGAACAGAACTGCATTTACATCCTAACATAAGATCAGTACAGTTGTAATATCAATGCAACCAAGGGTGCCACTGCAGCAACTTACAGAAATGTCATTATACAACAATGTTCTTCTTCAAAGCCCAAGGCTTGTCCATGTGGAAATGCATCTTTTCCAAAACAATCCCCTATTTTTGCTATTACTAAAAAAAATCCTCATAAACACAACATTGATTTTACAAAAGGCTTCATCTGTGCAGAAATGATCAAAAATGACTCGAGCTGTAGTAACTGTGCCAAGCCAGTATGTGACACTGTAATGCTGTCACAAAAACACCTGAAACAGGAAACTAGGTGCTTCAAGCTTACGCTCTGGGTGCAAAATGTAAACACAAGCAGAGGAGGACACCTTTAGGTCGAAGGTTACATAAGAGTTGGGGCTATGACATCATTTTCAAAAGGTGTTTTTAGCTGTTTATACAAAATCACAAAGGTGGCATTTCAATTTACTTCTATTCTGGAGCTCATTTTCAAAAATTGTTCTAAAAAAATCTAGAACAAAATTACAAATTCACAAAAGCTGTTTCCATGTGGATGGACACTACTTTTAATAAACATGAAAGTGCTGATGTTTTGATGCATAACCTGGATATGGAATGCAAAGCATCAAAAGAAATGTTAAAGTTGCTGCCAGTGGCTCATTAGGGTCACCATGGTAACCACCACAAACCGGTGTCCATCACAGGTACACACCACGTAAACAAAACACTTGGCTGAATTGACCAGAAACCACATGGGAGCTTGAGTCATGTGACTGACATGCATTAGGCCGGCTACAGCCTGTTAAACAAATATGGCAGAATCGGACAGGCCTAGGATGTTGGAGAACACATTTAGGTGGAAATATAAAAGTGAATGTAACTAAACACCACATTGAGTAAAACTATGCCCCTTTTCCATTAGTACCGGTACGGGCCGGTACAGCCCGGCTCTACTCTACTCGGTACGGTACAGGTTGTGTTTCCATTATGCTTTCAGTACCGGTTCCAGTGGGCGGGGTTCAAATTGACGTCACCACCTCTCACCAGCTGGTGGCGCTGAGACGCAGAAACTGTTTTCTGTACAGGTTGAGAATTTATGTTATTTTGAAGTTGTGTGTATGTATGTATGCATGTATGTGTGTATGCATGTATACATGTGTATAAATATATACATATATACACATATATATATATATATATATTTATACACACACACACAAATATATATGTACACATATATGTGTATATATTTATGTGTGTGTATATATATATATATATATATATATATATACACACACACACACATATATATATATATCATATGTGATATATATATATATATATCACATATGTATATACACACAATTATGTATATAAATGTATATATATACACATATGTATTTATATACATATATATGTATTTATATATATTCATATATATTTATATACATATATATGTATTTATATATATTCATATATATTTATATACATATATATGTATTTATATATATATACATATATATTTATCTATATTTATTTATAGATATAAATATATATGTATATAAATTACATATATATGTATTTATATATGTACATATATATTTATCTATATTTATTTATAGATATAAATATATATATATATGTATATAAATTAAAACTCTGATGAACCAGATTCTACAAAAACATTACATTTAAATTTTTATAGGTTTTCATCATCATTTGATGTATTTGCACTCATTGTGTCTACTTTTAATGTTCATTTTAAATGTGTGGTTTTCTTTCTTGTTCACATATTTACATTTTATTTTTAGCTTTGCTTTAAAGTTCTTGTTTTGTGATTTGTACATTTGTGGGTTAAAATAAAGTTGAACTGAAGGTCGTCTCTTCTTTAAACATGTTTGAGGGAAATATTCCTGAGATCCAATAGTTTTGTGTCTTTTTATGATTTTCAGCTGAGTTAACAGTCATTAAAGTGAAAACAGGATTTCATGATGAAGCTGGCACCGTCTTTTTTTTTTTTTTTTAAATCTTCAACGCTCTGCTGGTCTCGCACGACACTGCCCGCAGTCACACGATCCTCTCCTCCGGAGAAGAGGAGGCTGGGAGGCTCATCTTTCCAGCTCCAGCTCAGCTGGTCACTCACAGAGTCCGTTCCAAGGCTCCAGCCGCGCGTAATCATGAAGGTCCGACCCGCGCAGACAGGCGGGCAGAGACGGGTCTGCGACGAACGGTGGAAGCGATTTTAAAAAACCTTTTACGTGTAAAAAAAAAAAAATCATTTTTAAATCGCTTCAGCAATTTTTTAAAACATTTTTTGTATAAAAACAAAATATTATTTTATTTAAAAATCGCTTCCACAGTCCGTCCCAGACTGTCCAGTCTGCCTGGCTGCCGGGTGGGATCGGGATTCAGCCTTCATGATTACGCGCGGCCGGGGTCTGGCCACGTCCATCTGTGAGTCCCCATCTCCAGCTTTGCAGTGACCTGCGGAGCTCTGAGCGAACAAGGCTGGTATCTGGAACCCGAGCATCCGAGTCGGCACATCGAAGGTTCTTCCGCGGTGACCAGCTGAACTTGGAGCCGGGGAGATGACGCCCTGCCCGGCCTGGCGCTCCGAGGCTCCGGAGGGAGGATCGGGTACACCAGCAGAGCTCCATCCAGCTTGCTCTGAATTATGTTGTCGGCCACCAAGCACAAAAAATGCCAGCACATCAACATTAGACCAAGATGTTGTCAGTATTGTTTTTAAAATCTTTAAAATAAGTCCAGGCTGCTCCAGTCCGAGAAATTGCAAATGGCGGATTATTGTTTTGAAAGTTTCTGAAGGATCCAGTGACTCCGCCCCCGACTCCGCCCCCGACCAATCAGTGACCGACAGTGTACTGATGTCACGTTTTTGTACCTCTTCGTACCGGTTAGAACCACAGAGCCAAGGGTACTGAAAATAGTAACAGGTGCTAAGTACCGGTACTAATGGAAAAGCCTCAGAACCGGGCCAAGTAGGGTCGAGTCGGCCCGTACCGGTACTAATGGAAAAGGGGCATAAGTAGTAGAAAAACGAGATTCAGTGACAGATACTGAGGCTCTTTAAGGTGTCCTCATTAGGTGGAACAGAATCGTCCTGCAGGTGTGTGTAAAGTTACGTTGCCCACAACCTTCCAGTTAAAACCGACTGGTGTGTCTGATAATCTTTGTTCAAATGAGCCCTCTGACAACCAGAGGCCAGACTCTACCGCTTGCATCCGTCTCATCCCCGGGATGTTCTGCATGACATTTATTTTGTAATTAATAGTTAAAAACCAACAAGCTGGATCTTTCTGATTTCCTTATCTTTTTGTTGAACTGCTGTCCAAAATAAATATTGGGAACCAGGCAGGTGGTGTAGCACCATGAAGATGGAACTCAGCAACTAAACACGCTGCTTATCCAAACATTTTCTAGACCAGTCAGTTTATAGTTTCAACTATTTTTCCAATTCTAGTCTAATGCTTAGAAGATATATAACTTGAATCATACAGTCCAAGCTAAGCAGGCATGTCCGACTGGGAGGAGGCCTTGGGGAAGACCCAGGACACGCTGGAGAGACTATTGCCCCTTTTGCACCGCCCCTAATGAGCCCCAATTCTGGGCAGCCCGCCACAGAAACAACCCTTTTGCACCAGAACTTTAGCTCGTAGTTTTAGCTGATTTGAGGCTGATTCAGGACCTCTTTTCATCCCTGCTTCTCTGGTGGGACCGAGCGAGCTCAGCTGAGCTGAGACCGGACCGAAACGTGAATGCAGGGCTCTGATTGGTCACTGGATCTCAGAAACTTTTCACTGAGCCGCCATTCGCAATTTCTCTGGATGCAGAGGAGCGGCTGGATCTATTTTTAAGATTTTAAAAACAAAAATGACAACACCGTGTTTAATTCTGAAGTCCAGGCATTTTTTGTGTTTGGTGACGGACTAAAATTTGAGCAAGCGGTGTCACCTCGGAGGATCATACGAGCTGGCGAGCCGTTGAAGCCCGGCCTCGCCTGCTCACAAAGGCCAGATTTGAGCCCTGGCAGGCAGGAGGACCGGGATTAGGGATGAGGCCGATCCGATCCAGTATCAGTATCGGCCTCCGATACCAGCATAATTTACGTATCGGATTTTTCCGATCCATGAAGCATGTTGGCTTCAAACTATGGGATGGATTTCCTGAACGGCGGTGTGTCTCGTGAACCCAGAGTAATAAGACCCGCCTCACATTCAGGAAATCCAGTTCATAGTTTGCAGCCAGCTACAACGTGAGGACTGAGTTAGCAGCACTGTGGCTAACAGCTAACAAACTTTTCATCTAAACATGTCCGCTGTGTGGAAGTATTTTACACTAAACACCACAAAACAAGACAGCAAGGTGCAATGTCTGCAGAGCCATAGCGCCACATTAAACCACGTTAAAGTTAGTTTTACTTTGGACATTTGAGCTCCGTGGCTTCAGCGGGGCGCTACTCTTTGCTCAACTCGAAACAGGCAACTCGACCCCGGCCAGCTGCGTTTAATCTGCCCCGCTCAGTCTGTCCATCTCTGAGGAGGAGCAGACTGAGCACCGCTGCCCCAAATCAGGCTGCCTGCTTCGGACTGAACAAGAAGAAGGCATCGCTGAAACCACGGAGCTCAAATGTTTACAGAGAAGTTTCTAAACTTCATCATAATTAATGACCAACCACTATCACTTGTAGAAAACGAAGGATTTCTCAGCTTGATACTTGCAGCCAAGATATAGTTTACCCTCCAGGAAATATTTATCAGTACAACAGGAGACAATCATAAAAAAACATGATTTGAAAATTATATATATTAAAAACATAAACAGCTACATTATAAAGTGATGTAAAATACTAAAAACAGGAGCATGTCTGTTGGTTTATGCCATGAACTTAGCAGATGTTTGAAGCCATTTAACATTTTAATTAATTTAATTAATTTATTCATTCATTTAAATGAAACAAAATTTAAAAAAAAATCATCAAAAAGAAAACACTGAATGAAAAGAGTGAAGAAAATTTTTTTTATATCTGCCCCTTATTTAAAAAATACATAAAATAACTAAACAATCACTTAAATTAATCACTTTAATATCCACTTTAAAACAAGGAATAAAAAGAAACATGTTTTGTGTTAGAATTTAATTCTAAGTTTAAAACTTATCCAACATTAATAAAATTTACCTCAAGTTGCCTTTTTGGACAAGCATGCATATATTTGTACAAATTGTACTTGAGAGCAGATTATTACAGCCTCATATAAAATCAATGATGATCATGATATCGGAACTGGATCAGTATTGGCCGATATTCAGATTTAGGTATCGGATCAGAAGTAAAAAAAGTGGATCGGTGCATCCCTAACCGGGATGGAGGGACAGGGGGTGGAAACGTTTTTAAAAAAAAAAAAACATTTTATGTATAAAATATAAGTTTTTTTTTTATCAGTGAAGATTAAAAATAAATAAACGGTGCCGGCTTTATCGTGAAATCCTGTTTTCCTTTTGATTTTATTAAATAATCTGTTAATTAAAGTTAATTCAACTGAAAAATCATAAAAAGACACAAAATGACTGGATCTCAGTAATATTTCCCTCAAACATGTTTAAAGAAGAGACACAGCCTTTGGTTCAACTTTATTCTAACCCACAGATGAACAAATCACAAAACAAGAATTACACTTTAAATTAAAGCTGAACTTTAAATCAAAGCTAAACTTTAAATCAAAGCTGAACTTTAAATCAAAGCT